GGCCTGGGACTGAGGGTGACATGTGCGAGTGGTGGAAATCCGTCGTGAGAGCCAGTGTGCACTGAGGAGCGCCACTCAGACCCAGCTCCGAGCGTGTGGAGCCAAGCTCCGGTGCCACAGAGGGCTGCTTCGATACCCAGTCCCTGGGCGCCCACACCAACCACACGGTGCCACGATCCTGGTGGACCCCAACCAGCCACGATGGCCAGGGGGTCTTGTTTCTCAAGGTCTCCCCTTTGCTCTCCATCTTCCGTATTTCTCAGACCCCTTTGCACCGTGGGGCACCCTGGCTACGTGTCTTCACAAATTAAAATGGTGGCCGTGACGCACATCCTGTGACCAGCTGAGGCTCTGGCCCCTGCTCTCCCTTGGGCCTACCATGGGGCCACCGGGGGGCATCTCTGCTAGACCAAGCACCCAGGACCCACAAGGTGGTTGAGCTGGATTTCCACAGATAGAGGACATGCTGCTTTCTAACCCAGAGCATGCGAAAAGCCCCGCCATTGCCTGGCCTCCTAGCTCTGGGTCTTGAGAAGTGCGGCGTGTGACAGCAGCTGCCACTGGCCGTCTGCTCTGTGCTGCTGGGCACGCTGCACTCCCCTCTCACCTGACCACCTCGCAGGAAGGCATCATGGCCTTCTTCTAAAGGTGGGAAAACTGAGTCCCAACGAGGTGCAGGGACCTGCCGCAGGCTGCACAGCCAGGAAGGGGCAGTGCTGGCTTCCAGCTGTGATTGGTCACTTGCCCTGCCTGGTCCAGCTGCCTTCCTAAAAGCAGAGCCGCGTACAACTCCAGGAGCCTCGTGTGTCCTGAGGCATGAGGCCAGAGCCTGTCCTCGCCACAGAAAGGCCGAACACTGCATGCTCGGCCGCCCTGGGGCAGGGAGCGGCGGGCCCAGAGGAGCAGAGGGCTCTGCTTTGTGCCCTGCTGTGGTGCACCGTCTCAGCTCTTCCGGCCTCAGACCGGGGACGTGCAGGCGTCTCCCTCAGAGCACCCCCATGTTCTGGGCATTCCCAAAGACAGGCACAGGGAACGGTCTTGGTGCAAAGTAGAGGCTGGTGAAAGTTAGTGGGGACGATCACTTAGCTGAGCGGGAAGGGAAGGGGAGGCTCATTTCTGTCTGCAGCTGTCCTCTGGGGACTGGAACGGCACCTCCAGGCTGGGCGGGGTGCCACTGTGCCTCCTGTGGCCTCCTTGGCTCCCCTGTCCCATCTCCCCTCCACTCCTGGACAAGACCTGACGAAGCCAGACTAAGGACAGCCAGCGACCCCCGCAGGAGGCCCAGAGCCGCAGGAGGCCAGCCTGGGGCCTGCGGACTGGGGCCCCTCTCTCTGGGTGGGGCTTTGCCTCCTTGGCAGCCGCCGCCACCCGGGCAACCTTTCGTTTTTCTTTTCCAACACCTCTTTGCACCTACCTGGCCACAAAGCCTAATGCGAGCGGGGCAGTGTGACGACTGCGGGGAAAGGCCAGGCAGAACTCCTGCACAGAACCCCCAGCAGAAGCCCGGGCCAGGCTGCTGCCCTGCGCTTTCCCGAGTCCGGGAGCTGCCCTGACACTGTGGCAGCCACTCGTCCCTGCCCACACAGCCGCTGCTCTGGCCCACGAGGCCCTGATCCATACCCTGGATGACTCACGCCACAAGGGCCTTCTGAGAAGAGCACAGGACCTTCCAGACACCAGGCCTCGCAGTCCTGCCCCCCGCAGCACGATGGCTCCTCCTGCCTCCGACACCGCTCTGACAGAGCCAGCCCAGGCCATGCAGAGCCGGGCAGGGACGCCCACGTGTGACCGTCCAGCACAGCTGGCCCCTTCGCTACGAAGAGCCCCAGAGGTCCCTGAGCCGTCTTTCACCCGCATTCCCCTCACTATCGGGGTAGAAATTGGGGGACACGAAAGCCCATGAAAAGCCTGACCCCCGTGAATGGGACCTGGTGAGGGCCGAGGGCGGCTGCTGTCTGGCTGTTTCTGAGCCGGTGGCTTAGCCAGGGCACCCCCACTGCCCATGTGCTGCCGGCGAGGGGTGGCCGTGGTCAAGACAGGATCCTGGGACAGGCCGGCTGGGCAGGGCAGCCAGAACAAGGCCGGCCCTCATTGCCCCAAGGCCTGGGGTGTAGACCACCGTGCCCAGGTTGCAAACTCGGAGCATCCTATACGCTCCCCCTGCTGGGGGGACCCTCAGTCCCTGGCCTCTGCGCAATGCAGGCCAGCGAGGCTGCCTGCGACCCTCCCTGACCTGCCAGCGGGGAATGCTCTCTCCCCAAAGGCAGAAGGAAAGGGGTGCCGAGGGCCCGGGCTGAGAGCGCCAGCAGGGGCCTGCCCTGTCTGTGCCCGGCGCCCGCCTCTGGCCACACTGGGCCTGCCCGGCTGCGTCTGCGTCCTTCCTCCTCAGCTCCTCCGTCTTTTCTCTCTTGTCCTCGTGGAGACCCTACCCCTGGGCAGCGTGGTTAAGAGCTGTCTCTCGCTGCGCGCCCCCATGATCGAGACACGGCGAGTGCCGGGGGTCCTCTCCGCCCAGCTGCCCGATGCCTCTGGGGGGACAGGACAGAGGTGACACCAGCGCCACACTCCACCTCCACTCCCACCAGTTATGCCCAGCGTCCTCAGAGCCCCACGGTTTCCCTGGAATGAGCGCGGCGGGGTACCTGTGCTCGGGAGCCCGGCCTGCAGGATGGCGGCCATAACCAGCAGCTTCCACTTCATCTTGCCCTTTTCCCTGGGACGGTGCTGGGGTGCCGGCGTGGAAGCAGTGCGGCTGCGGCTGGGATGGAAGAGAAACGCGTCTCTGCTGGCTTTCTTCTGGGGCTGCCTCCTCAGGAAGTGGAGGACTGGGGGGGCCTGAGAAAGCACCTGCCACGGGGCAAGAGCCTCACACTCCTCCTCTCGCTTCGCGGGCAGGAAGCTTTGGAGGTTTGAGGGTTTGGGGTGTGTGTGTGTGTGTCTTACTGAATTTTGTTTTTCCTCTCACTTGACTATGGTTTTGTCTTTTTCTTTCTAATTCTTGTCTAATTTTTAAAATCAAATTCCTGTCTGATTTGGTGAGGTCAGTCTCTAGGCAAATACGAGTTCCCAGTGCATGTGAAAACTTTTGCCATTTTTTTAGCTCCGCAAATACGTTCCTGAGGTAGGTAAAGTGATGGGGAGCTGGACTCAGGATAGGCTAAATGTAGAGACAGACCTTGTGGTTCTTAGTGACACCTCTTCCAGGAGACCTACAGAGAGCCCTGAATGTGTCTGGGGTAGTCGGTGGGGTGCAGCGTGGAGGCAGTGGGCAGCTGGGCAGGGAGTCCCCTGGGCTGGCTGTATGGTCTCACCTAAGTCACTCACATCTCGACTTCCACGGCCTTAGCTACAAAGCTGAGAGCCGAAGTGTGTCAAGATTTGCGATGTGCATTTGGCCTGAATTTGGAGCATTAACACGTTTGAAATACTATAGCTCACACAGTATTTTAAACACTTGTGTTAGTTGTCAACATTTAAATATTTACAGTAATAAGAAAGATTAAAACCTAGGAATAAACTTAATGAAAAAATGTAAGAGCTGTGTAAAACTTAAACACATTACTGCAGAACACAGGAAGGACTTGGGTTAGGGCAGGCACCTTCTTCTTTGATAGAAATTGCCCTCTTAAGAAGAGCACAATTCTCCCTAAATTAATCATCCCATCTCATCAAAAACACCAACAAAAGTTTTAGAGCAAAGTTTATATTGAAAAAAATTATATCTTGACAAAAGATAGCCAAGATAACAAAAGCACAAATAATCAAAGACAAAATAGATAAATTGAAATTCATCAAAATTAAATTTTTTTAAAGTATTTGGCCTATGATGGTATGGTGATTGGGGTGGCTAGATCTCACATGGCTGACTGCATGGTTTGAGTGCCAGATCTGGTGGCTCGAGATACATGCTGGGTGTGTGTATGTGCATGCCCAAAATCCCAAGAGGAGAATGGAGGAGAAAGAATTGCAGCATGGCCATGGCCATCCCCCTGGGGGGTGCTTCCTCACTTTCCCTCTCTCTCTCCCCTCCCTCCCCCCATAAATGCATGTGCCCTATGGGCAAGTTCGGAAAAAAATGCTATTAAGAAAGTGAAAATACAACCTGCAGAATGAAATAAAACACTTGCAAATTGTGGGTCGATAAGGTTCTATTATTTAGATTATGCAAATAATCCCTGTAATTCAATAATTTTTAAAAAGTTGAAAATTGGTCAAAGATTGAGATAAACATTTCTTCAAAGATACGTTCCTGAGGTAGGTAAAGTGATGGGGAGCTGGACTCAGGATAGGCTAAATGTAGAGACAGACCTTGTGGTTCTTAGTGACACCTCTTCCAGGAGACCTACAGAGAGCCCTGAATGTGTCTGGGGTAGTCGGTGGGGTGCAGCGTGGAGGCAGTGGGCAGCTGGGCAGGGAGTCCCCTGGGCTGGCTGTATGGTCTCACCTAAGTCACTCACATCTCGACTTCCACGGCCTTAGCTACAAAGCTGAGAGCCGAAGTGTGTCAAGATTTGCGATGTGCATTTGGCCTGAATTTGGAGCATTAACACGTTTGAAATACTATAGCTCACACAGTATTTTAAACACTTGTGTTAGTTGTCAACATTTAAATATTTACAGTAATAAGAAAGATTAAAACCTAGGAATAAACTTAATGAAAAAATGTAAGAGCTGTGTAAAACTTAAACACATTACTGCAGAACACAGGAAGGACTTGGGTTAGGGCAGGCACCTTCTTCTTTGATAGAAATTGCCCTCTTAAGAAGAGCACAATTCTCCCTAAATTAATCATCCCATCTCATCAAAAACACCAACAAAAGTTTTAGAGCAAAGTTTATATTGAAAAAAATTATATCTTGACAAAAGATAGCCAAGATAACAAAAGCACAAATAATCAAAGACAAAATAGATAAATTGAAATTCATCAAAATTAAATTTTTTTAAAGTATTTGGCCTATGATGGTATGGTGATTGGGGTGGCTAGATCTCACATGGCTGACTGCATGGTTTGAGTGCCAGATCTGGTGGCTCGAGATACATGCTGGGTGTGTGTATGTGCATGCCCAAAATCCCAAGAGGAGAATGGAGGAGAAAGAATTGCAGCATGGCCATGGCCATCCCCCTGGGGGGTGCTTCCTCACTTTCCCTCTCTCTCTCCCCTCCCTCCCCCCATAAATGCATGTGCCCTATGGGCAAGTTCGGAAAAAAATGCTATTAAGAAAGTGAAAATACAACCTGCAGAATGAAATAAAACACTTGCAAATTGTGGGTCGATAAGGTTCTATTATTTAGATTATGCAAATAATCCCTGTAATTCAATAATTTTTAAAAAGTTGAAAATTGGTCAAAGATTGAGATAAACATTTCTTCAAAGATATGCAAATGGCCAATAAGCACATGAACAGGTGTTTAAAATGATTAATTATTAGAACAAAAGCATGTCCCAGCCACAGGGAGCTTCCACTTCACAAGCACAAGGAGAGTTAAATGAAAAGGACCGATAGTACAGGAGCCGGCGGGGACACTGAGCCTCGCGCCTGGTGTGGGGGTGTAAGTTAGTGGCCCCCTGTGCAAAACAGCGTGCTGTCCCTCGAAAGTTAAACTCATAAAGTTACCATTTGGCCCAGCAAGTGTACTCCTAGGAAGAAGTAAATGAAATTAAATTGTACTCCAAGAGAACTAAAGCCATGTATTCACGCAAAAACTTCTACACAGATATTCATAGCAGCATTTCCTCACATCTCCCACATGAAAACAGCTCGAATGACTTCAACTGAGCAATGAGCAAGCAAATGCGGGAAAAGCCAGACATGGACCGTAATTCAGCCATAAGGAGTGCAGTACCGTCACCCACACACGGGGTGGGCCTCCAAATATTATGCTAAGGAAAAGGAGTCAGACACAAAAAGTCACAGGGTGAATTATTTAGTTTATTTCCTTCAGGTGAGATAAAGAGAGAAAGAGGATGAGTCAGGTACCCTTGACAGGGTCTCAGCCAGGACTGCAGACGTGCCCTCGAGTGTACCTGGCAGGGTTAGGCCGACCCAGGATCCACACCGGAGCCTCCCGCTGGGCTCCAATACCACGCTGTGGCACTCACACTCGAACCGCTGGGATTGGACCTTTGATTCCACTTGCACGGCATATCCATCCAGGTGAATCCATGGAGATAGAAAGAGTAGTGGCTTCCAGAGATTCGGGGGAGTGGAGAATTGGGACTAACTGCTAAGAGATGCGAGGTCTCTTTCAGGAACCATGGCAATGTTCTCATGTTAAATGGTGGTTAGTGGTGTACCACGTAGTGAATACGCTAAAGAGCACTGGAGTGCACACTTGAGATGGTGGATTTTGTGTTGTGTAAATTATGTCGCAATACTAAAACCAACAAAACACTAGTCAGGGAGATGTTACGAGAGAAGAGCCAGGAGAGTGAAATACCCTGCCACGCAGCAAACGTTTCGGAGTGATGTATGATTGTGCCGTACTTAGGGTCCTACAGAAGGGAAGCGATAGTTGTTTTCAACAAATGATGCTGGACAAACTGGACAGCTGTATGAAAAAAAAAAAAAATATTTTGACCCTCATTTCACACCACAAGCAAAAATGATCTAAAATGGTTCATAGACCTAATGTAAAATCTACAAAAATCCTTCCAAAGGTGGCCAACTTGAGACACCCATCGTGGTAGCTCTGGTGGGAAAGCCCAAAAAGCTGGAGAGTCTGGATGCACCTGACGCAGGAAGGGAGGTGAGATGAAAGCAAGACAGTGGGGCGCTCTGGGGCACAGAGTCTCACATAAAAGAAGGAAACAGAGGTCAGTTGTCCAAACTCAGAAAGGAACTGGAGCCACCCAAAGATTCCCAAATCAGGGACGATGAGTGGAGTCCAAATCAGGGGAGATGAGTGGTGTCCAAAAGGGGGGAGGTGAACGGAGTTCTTCCCCACAGCCCCCAGTTCCTTGCTTCCACCTCAGACTCTCATTTCCTGACTGCAAGAGAGCTCGTCTGGAGCAGCTGCCAGGATGGGCTGCCCTAGAATGCTGAACTGTCCTGAAATCCCAGTGCCACCTCAGGAGCTGAATCGGGACACTCTCCCTGACAAACTGGCAAGATTGCATGTCTACTCCCCCTCCTCTGGGACACCAGGGGCAATGTCCTGTCCCCTCTGTTACTTTTTCCCTGAATGGTAAGTGTGACTGTAGGGGAGAGCGGCTGACAGAGGAGGGAGCTGGGGCTCCCCTCTCTGGAGCAGTGGAGGAACAGAGGATGTCAGAGCACCACTTGCTTCCTGCCCCAGGAGACCCCTCCTGTAAGCTAGTGCCTTGCGTTGCAGCCGAGTGCAGCCCCAGTCGCTCCCTCCAGCTGTGCAATTATGCACTGGCCAGCAGATCCTCGCGGCTTGTGCCAGAGGATGTACAAGAGGGAGTGTGGGTAGCCTCCCAAAGTTTAGCCCTGCCCCATGACCCTGTAGACATAAGACAGAGCCAGTCCTGCCCCCCATTGCAAAGACACATGCAGGCCAGTGGACCCACACAGCTTGGACCACTGGACTTGTGCCATTCCCAAATAATCCCACAGCCCAGCCTAATAGCCCACTAGGCAGAAGTGTGCAGCTCCAACCATGTCCCCAGCTCTGCAGCCGTGGTGCATGCCTCCCATCCAGCTTCACAGCCTTCAAGGGGGGGTGGGGGGTGCCCAGCCCCCACCCGTAACAGAGGCAACCCCTGTCCTGCCTGCCTGCATTGAACCACCTGCAAAGGGAGCTGCATCCGTAGAGAGATTCAGGCATTGGAACAACTTCCTGTAGCTCCAGGAATTGTACACAAGTGGCTAGCTAAAC